GATAGAATAATTAATTTGTTTAATTTAGTTGCTTATTATGAATTTTGAAATATTTCTTTTAGTCCATTATTTTATAATGGACTATTTTTCCGGTTGCCCCCAACCCTAAAAACATGTACAAGAGGTTGCCTTCAGGCCCAGGCCTCCCTTGAAAAAGAGATCTGAGATCTCAATGGGACTTGCCTGGTAAAAATAACGGTAAATAAATAATCTACATGATTTATACAAACATGTTAGTCAGACTATAGTTTGATTTGTTTGTTCTTTGATATTTTATTTCACTCTTGAATTGTTTTAAAGGTTTTCAAATTATATTTCCAGCTCACCTTAATCTGTCATACTTATTTACATCAGTAGCTATCTTTACATGGACATAAGTCATTGGAATAAATGACCAATTGAAATTAAACTGCATCATGTAGACCACCACCTCCAATCGAAATCGATTTGATTCAGCTTGATCAAAGTTAATCTGTAATCTGAACTAGAGGTTTGGTTAATGCTGATTGATAATCCAAATGATGCAAGTATTGAGTTGAAAAATACCATAAGTTTTATATGGAATCAGAAACTGTATGCATTATTTATTTCACGTTTAGTCAGTTGTGCATAGTACTTTTAAGTGTTTATWAGATGATGTGATAAAACACTGTTTCTATTTAGGAAATACCACATAMAGCTCAGTTATTGTCTGTAAGTTGTGCTCAAACATCAATGGGATGAGGAACACAATGTTTTCTGTTTAGTCAAAGGTAAACATGAAACTTTGAAGTTAYTTACGACTGGCCCGTTGAGGACCACCATAATGCTTATGTGGCCAAGAGTGAAAATGATTTTGACTCCACTGCTGTAGAGAAACTGGGACTATTTTCTGTATGTCTAATGACGAGGCATCTGTGTGTTATAATTTTGGACATCATTTAGTGAGATCACCATGTTGTATGCAGTTACATGACTATCAGAACAGTTTGTTTGAAGCTAATAGTAAGTATTGTGTTGTTCTGCTGAAGTTTTTAATGATGAAGTTGTAAACAGATATAAAGTTCACATTTACGTTTTAGATTATCATGTTATTTGTTCCTCAATTATTTAGTCCACCACTTTGTTTGTGATTTAGACCAGCGGTAACAGAATAACATTTTATTTGGTATTAAACAGTCAATTAAACTCTTTCAATAATAATGAAGTAATATTGAAATGAGTAAGTGTTTGTTTCTTTGTAAATTTTATAT